GTGGTTTCATGTGGCCCGCGAAACCATTCTGGAAACAGTGAGGGAATGGCCCCCTCTGCCTTGGCCCTGTCCCAGGCTGGCCAGGAGCCAATGTACAATTTTGTGCTGGCCATCTATGCTGAAATGCATTCAGCCTTAGCTCCACAAGGCCGTTTGGAAACAGCAAGGAACCAGCCCCTGCCGCGTTGGCCCTGCCCCTTGGGTGCATGCTGGGGAGGTGTCACCCTTTGTGAGGAATGAAGAAATGCACCATCGCCTGGAAGAAATGCACCTATCTGGCTTGATGGGCTCCGGGGGAGGGATTTCGACAGGCAGCAGGGCGCTCTCCTCATAGCGCCAAGAGCTGAGCCGGGTGGCACGAATCTGATGAGAAGTGCAATGCTGCCTAGCCCCCGGTCTGCCCAGTTTCAGCAGGCAGCAAGGTGCAAAGCTGGCGAGCTTCGCACTGCCTGGCTCAACCTCTCGGCACTGTGAGGAGAATGCCCCGCTGCCTGCCGAGACCGGGCAGGCTGGGGGCTGGGTGTCATTGCGCAGGTAACATTGACTCTCACGCTACTCATGGCATCCCCTCTCCCAGAGCCCACCAAGCCAGATATGTGAAGTAGGTGAGGGCCATGTGCTGGCTACTTCCAGGTGATGGTGCATTTCTTCATTCCACATGAAGGGTGACATCTCCCCAGCTGCGTTTCTTGCCTGTTTTTCTCCCTCCCTCATCTCAAATATTTTCCCACCACTCTGTACTTAGGAAGGAAGGAAAGAAGGAAAGAAGGAGAGGGAGGGTCTGAGGGAACTCCTGCCTTAGTCCTGCCCTGCTGCCCTTTCACCATCCCCTTGCCCCCTCCTCCTGGCCTATCCTGGGGGTCTCTCATCCTATTGCTAAGGAAGCTTTGGATACAAAGCCGAGTCTACTCCCATGGAGAGGGAATGGGCCTCCCTCTGACTTTGCCCTGGTACCCATCATGAGCAACCTGGCTAAGGAGAGCAAGCACAGCAGCAGCAGCCTTGAGGAGGAGATAAGTGCAGCTGGGCACCCCCTTGGGGAAGTGGGGCTGGGCTTGGTGCCATGGGTGCTCGAGGGCCAGGCTGGGCGTTTCACCTCTGCTGGCCAGGGCTCCGGGCAGCCCGCACCACCATCCAGCCCCCCCCACATGGCCTGAGAGGAACAGTGAGGCTCCTCCAGTGGACCATGCCTTGGCACTTGCCCTGGTCCCATCCCCTTCTGTCAGAGACCCTCAGATCTGTCCCACTCCTGCCCAGGCCCCCACAGGCACCCTTGACGCGAACGATGTACAGCTGGCCATGCCCATCCAGTAGGCCACACCCACTCCATCCACACCCACCCAGTAGGCTGCACCCACCCTGGCCACACACCCCCGGTCCCCCAAGGGCAACCGCAATGCTGATGCGGCCCACAATGAAATTGAGTTTGACACCCCTGTCGTAATGTATTGGCGTAATATATGTGTGGATCCAAACAGTGTGTCCTTTTGTAATGGATAGATGGAAAATTTGTCAATGTGCAGATTTTATGTAAGCTGTCCAACATTTTTTGGATATGACATCCAGTGAACCAATAACCACTGGGACCTCCATGACTGGTTTATGCCATAATCTTTCAACTTTGATTTTCAGATTTTGATATTTTTTGCTTTTTTCCAATTCTTTGTTTTCTATCCTAGCACGGCCTAGTGTTGCCACATCAATTATCCACATTTTTTTCTTTTCAACCACAGTTCAGTCTGATGTGTTGTGTATGCATCAAGTCTTTATTAGTTGCTTTTTGGAATTCCCGCAATATTTTAACCTGCTCATTTCTGACTACTTTTTCAACTATATGAGCCCAACAATTTTTCACTATTGACCCATGATAATTTTTATAGATGTTTCAGTAAATCATTTTTGGCTACTGTGTTATGGCATTGTTGATAATCAGTTTATTTTTGGTTATACAATCAGCCATATGTTTAGATAGGATTTTGTCAATGTGGATGGTTTCAGATGGTGTTCCAATTGTTTTGGGATTGCACCCAAGGGGCCTATTACTATTACTATTAGTACTATCTTCGCTTTCTTTTGCCATAGTTATTCTACTTTTATTTATCTTTGTATTTTGTATTTTGATACCTTCTTCAGTTCTTCTTCTTGATTCTTTTGTTTCCAGGTACTGCAGTGTCTGCTCTCCAGACTTTTTTTAAATCTTTCTTATCGACAATTGTTAAATCTGGGTTGTTATGTGGCAAGTGCTTGTCTGTTTGAATTCTAAAGCCCCAGAGCACTTTAATGTCTTCATTTTCTAGTTACTTTGTCTATTTTGTGATCCCACCAGTTCTTGTTTGCAGGAAAATTGTATTTCTAGCAGATCTTCCATTGCACCAGTGTTGCTACTTCGTCATGCCATAGTTAATCTGTGCAATCTTCTTGCAGCAGCTAACTTGGTAGTCCACTATTTCCTATTTCCTAATAGTAACTTTGAACAGTCACTAAATTAATTGTTGCAAGTTGAGGATTCCGTGTAGATGCTATTGGACTGCATCAGCTAACATACCAATTAGCAACTTGAAAGTTGTTGGTAAGCAGGTCTTTGGCCTATAGTTGGCTGATGTTTCCCCTTTTTTTCTGAATCTTTATATAGTTTTTTCTCCCAAAGAGTCCTTCCCCATGTTTTATCATTTTACCTTTATTTTATTTTTTAATTTCAATCTTTAAAATAGAATTAATAGATTGTTCTCCATCAATCTATTCAATCTAATAAAAAATGTAGTTATATGACAATTATGGTTTTTATGGTCACTTTTAACTACTGATAACACTTTTGTCTGGTTTTGAATTCATAACTACTAAACCAGATAAGAAATAACTTGTATGCATAATTCAAAAGGCTGAAGAAACTCTCTGTTTTGGTCCATCTTTGCAATATGTTGTAAGTATGGTGATAATGACCCATTAGATAATGTTTATGGCTGGTAAATGTGTTTGTCCCCATCATAAATCTATCCCAGTATCATAAATGTTGCAGATAAGTATCATATTGGTAGTTTGACATTGTTGGTTGAAAACCTGTTCTAAAGTAAATTGCAAGAGGAACACATTTTTTAAATCAGAGATTAGAAAACATTCATGGCTCTTCCATGTTCTTTAGTTGGCAAGGTTCCAAAACCTCAGTTAGAAACTGGTTGCCAATTCCATTTGCTGTGATATCACCCTTGTATTCTAAGTACTTCAGCATGGAATAACTTATCATGTCTGTTTCGTACAATCACTCATAAATGTCAGTGATTAGAAATGCCACTTTCACCCTTAAATCTGCATAATAAGTTGGGAAAAATTATATACTTTTATGATTGTTTAAGGTACATATGACATTTTTGAAATCACTCTTGAAACTTAAATTACAGAAAATGACATTGGTAGAAGGAAGAAAGTTCCTTTTCTCATAAACAAAACTGAAGTTGAATGCTAAAGTATTTGTAAGAAAGGGATATTATGCAATCCTTAAAAACACCCTATTTAATAAATTCCATATTTTCTTGCTGAATTTTTTCCCCCTCGTGAACTTAAATCAGGGTTATATGCCTTACTAAAGAAGAACTGTAGCTGCTTGGTTGAAAGAGGACATTGGAAATAAATTTTAGAATCCTGCCCTTTGGTGCCTTGTTGTCTGATGCATAGCATGGAATGGTCTTTTTTATACTTGGCTAAATAAGGCTAAAGTCAATTATAAAAATAAGGCTTTGTCAATTACACTTTTTATTCGAGATTTTTGCTGAACAAACCTGGGTCAGTCACACAACTGTTAGGACCTTAGGCTCTGAAGAAGTCAAGGGTGGACTTCTTAAATTGTTTCCAATACAGAGAATAGATTTGGGCATGCAGTTTGTCCTGGGCAAAAATGTGAGCAATTATTGGTTCTTTATAGGTAGCAAAGGATGGCTGCCTTCAAAGTTGTTTTGTAGGATACCCCTGACTTGCGACCAGTCACTTAGTAACCATTTGAAGTTACGACGGTACTTATGATCCAGTTCCAAAGTTCCAGTGGCCACCCCCACTCCACACTCCACGAATGCATTTTGAATGCTCAGCAACCGCCCTGCATTTATGGCCATTTGCAATTTCCCATGGTCATGTGATCACAATTTATGACATTTTTGCTAAAAACCCGGTGTTTACTTCTGGTTTTCAACAAAAATGTCCGTAGCGAACAATGGATTCACTTAACGTCTGCAGATTCACTTAACGACCATGGTGATTTGCTTAAGAACCGCTGCAAAAAAAGTCATAAAACTGGGTTGGTCATGTGATGACTAGCTTTAAGACCATCGTGACTTATGACTATAATGGGCAGGCTCCATTATGATCATAAGTTGAGGACCAGCAGTATATATATATATTGTTTGGAATGGGAAGCCACACTGTAGAAATCTCAGCCATTGCAGCAGTCCCACATTTTTTTATACCCCTCTTTTCTGGAAAAGAAGAGGAAGGAGGGGGAGAAACAAGTGACTCTCTGTGAGTCTACTCTAGGTGTGGATAAGTATGGCAACTTTATGACTTGTGGAATCAGCTCCCACAATTCCTGAGCCAGCATGCACGAATTCTGGGAATTGAAGTCCATAGGTCATAAAGTTGCCATTATTGCCCACCTTGGTCTACTCTATAAGCCCTCCTCTCATTTTGCTCTAAAGGGATATGATCTCCCTGAAGAGGGAGAAGTATATGCAGACAAAACGTAATAGTCACTCCTGCTGTAATGTTGTTCTTCACTGTTTGTATACTGAAATCTATGGTTGCAGATAATGGATTTTTGCGTATTGAGAAGAGGGATACAGAGAAATCTGCTGATGTTTTCCATTGTTCAGACCAAGTCTTTGTTTATGAAGCCATTTCATTTTGTTTTCTCAAAATGTGTTTCTGGTTATTTCAGTTTGGAAATTGCCTTTTGAAGCCAATGCCTTATAATCCATAAATTTACCAGAATCCATGTTGTATGTTTTTTCCTCCAGATACTTGGCCATGGAGACTATGACTCTGATTTTAGTGATGATGAAACAGTGGAGAAATCTTGCCAACAGAAAAATAGGTAACATATTGCCCTGGTAGCATTATAATTTGTATGTGTGCAAGTAGTAGACTTTTCTTTTTTACTTAAGTGTGAGCAGAGTATCTTGTCCCGAAACAACACTAAAAAACACTGTAGTATCCAGTGATGGGATTCAAATATGTGAACAACTGGTTCTCTGTGTGGATGCCACTTCTGGAAGTTCTAGGCCTGCACAACAAAAAATTACGGTAGCTACCAGTTCTACCGAACTGGTGCAAACTAACTGAATTCCACCACTGGTAGTATCCATTTAGTAGCTGTTTGGCATCCCATTCCTTGTAGTTCTGAGCTTCAGCTCGGAAGACCCAGAGCTCCATTAAAGGCTGGCTAGTAATCCCCTGCTACATCAAATTACAGATGGCCCTCAACTTATGACAGTTCATTTAGTTACAGAAGTTAATGACGATGTTGAAAATAGTGATTTATGATCAGGCATCACACTTACAACTGTTGCAGCTTCCCTGCAGTCGTGTGATTGCAATCTGGCTTGGCAACTGGGTCACATTTACAACAGTTGCACCCTCCTGGGGTCATGTAATCACGTGCAACCTTATAGCCAACTTTTGACGAGCGAAATCAGCGGGGAAGCTGGCACGTGATATCTCACTTAATGACAAAAAGGTTGTAAAATCTGGTACAGTCATGCAGTGCCTTGCTTAATGACCACATTGCTTAATGACAAATTTTGCAGTCCCAATTGTAGCCATAAGTCAAGGATTACCTGTGCTGAACAAGAAATCAAAGCAAGTCGAGGCCAGGAAGTCGAGGGAAAGGATACCTACTGAAAAGAAATGAACTGTTGCTTATTATTTCTTACCAACTTGTCTTTATGGGAAAGGATTGATTATTTGCCATCAAGTCCTTTTCAACTCCTTGTGACCATACAGATAGATTTTCTGCCTGAGTGGGAAGTGACATGTATTGCAATCCTATGCTCATTGATTGGGAGTAGGTTTATAAATAGGTACATTCCTTTATGCTGATTTTTTTTTAAATTAAAGTAACACTGGTATTAAATGTGGCATTCAGGAGCATTATCTTGGTTGCTTAGAAAATAGAGGGGAGACCTATTAAAAATGGTGAAATGAGAAAATCTAAACCAACTCCGCCTGAATAATCAGAAGGAGATTATGGTTATCAACCTTTTATTTATTTATTTATTATTTATTAATTACATTTATATCCCGCCCTTCTCCTTGCGGACTCAGGGCGGCTGACAATTGGATAAAATACTAACATATTATACACCTAATTAAAATTTGATTAAAAAGAAATATTTAAATTTGTCAGATTAAAAGTAATTAAAACCCCTTTAAAATCCCTTAGGCCAGTCCCGCAAGCTG